TACCCTTGATTTCCTGCAATTCTGCCTGAAAATCTAAGAAGTGTATATGTTTTTTGAATAATTTTCATGTCCTTCAAAGTTTTCACATTCAGTAAGAATGGTTTGTTCTCTCCATCAGCAATGTCCCCAGTTGTGAGATACGGAATCAACCAATATATGGTAGTGAGCAATAACATTCTTATTGATTGTAGCTATGTTCATACAAATGGAAGATCACGGCTACCACTCTATGTGACTTGACTAATCGATTTTCCATTTCAATTTAACAGCAGAGAACATATGTTCTTCATTACTCAGCCCATATATCACCTTGATGAGTGACATATCTTTATTTCATGCTGTAGCATGAAATAAAAACACTCAACACAAACAACATTAAGTCTACACTTGAAACTAACCGATAACACATTGCCGCTTTTGATCGTAGCATTTGCAACAAGTTCAGCACGCAGACTCTCTTGAGGTATGAGTATAGGAGACTTACAAGCGATCTCACAAGCAGCATCAAACCACTCTTCTGGCCAAAGACCTAAGTTTGATCCTACATGTATTTCTGCGGACGAATAACACATAACTCAAGTCTCTTCCTCAACTAGATCAGAAATGTGAATCACACAGTAAAGTACGAGTGGATTAGTGCAGACCTGTTTGTTTTCTTTTTCCAATGTTTAAGCTTACTCACTAATGGAAAATTTAATAGAAGTTTATATTATTTGTATTTTTATAACAAACCTATCTGGGCGACATTAAATCCGAGTACTGTACAGCAGAACCAAAAGTCGCGGAACAAATTTCGCAGCCGAACTGATGGGTTCTTTATTGTCGCAGACCTGCGTAGTAGAGAAGCAATCTTCGGAATCAAAACACCTAAGTTCCCAGCACCAGTTGAAAGCTGGAAATGATTGAAGCAATACCTTCAGCACAAACTTATCCTCAAAAGACAAAAATTATAGTCACTGACGAAACAACCAACTCAAAGGATTGATAACGACTTTTGGTACCTCAAATAACTTCCAA